CCGGCGTCCATCACCAAGATGGCCGCCGGCAAGTATCAATAGGATCGCCGCGTACGCATGGTGACGTCACAACGGGGTGTCACCCGGTAACCGCTCTGGGTTACACCCGGCCTCGGGGTGCCCCTGGGCAAGGGACAGTCAGGCTGGGAAGGAAAGGGATAGCCTCCTCTCCTGGACTGACATTGCTTCCTCTGATTTCACTGCACAATGCGAGCTTCTCACAATGTGCATCGGAAGCTGCAGCAAGTCAGATAGAACCTGCCTTATTTCCTGCCTGCTGGACATCCAGTATCATCAAGTCCTCTCCTCCCCAGCCTGTCTGGCCTGCCCCTTTCATTCATTGGATTTCAGTTGTTTCCATCACTGAGGCTCAGCATCACATGCGGGTGTGTTTACCAGGACGGTCTGTATTCAACAACAGTCTGCCTACTACTCCAGACTGACATCCACCCATCAGGACATTATATTTGCATAACTCCTCCCAGGAGCCGGCCCACTGTTTACATCAGGGCTGAGGGCTCTTGAGAGCAGTAAAGAAAGGTATATAATGAAAATAGAAAGGTGTTTATTATTCTATGTCCCCAGCATGTTTATGACAAGCGGGGTAACTTGATAGCGTAGCACTGAAATCTGATGCTCTGGGTTACTGCTCCTGCAATAAAGAGACGGTATATTCAAATATTGGCCCGGGGATTTACATAAAGCCATTTCCATCGTCCCAACCAAACGCAGCTGACACAGAGACAACTTATTGCTTCCCCTAGGGCTGTACTTGTCTTATATTTGCATTGGCCTCAGTGTTCATTCTTACTTATATTGGGTGCAATGCATGTCTGTATCCTGCTCAGCATAATACACATAGGGAAATTGCATGCAGATGACGGGGGTGGGGGAAGTTCATTTAAAAAAAAAAATATTTTGTTATTTTTATCACTTTTTTTTTTCTTACACTTAACTTTATTGCTATCACACTGGGGCGGACAAGCACCTGTGCAATAGCGTTTGACAGGTTCTCTTTATGGAGTCTGGCCTCTAATACAGTAGATGGAGCTCAGCATTGTGCTCGATCTTCTGTACAGCCCAACAGCTGAGACACGAAGCGCTGTGAGTACAATGTTCCTGTCTCACTGATCACACAGAGCAGATCGGGGGGACAGACGATCTCCGGTCTGCTCCCCGCTCTCCATCCTGAAATCATCACTGTACAGCCGCTCAGATCACTTGTACTAAATAAACAGCAGCTTCCCCGCTCTACATTTAGACTTGCTTGCCCGCAGCAGTGCTAGATAAAGGTGGGGGGACCAACTGCCCGGGACACGCAGTAGGGCGATAGGAATCCCGCCCCTGCTTTTACAGGTAAAATGTACAAAAGAAGTGAAAACGCACATACTGTATAATCTTATGGGAAGTTATTTGGCGCAATGCTGGTGACAGGGTCTCTTTAAGAGCAAGCAGAACAAGAAAAGACAACTGGTTGCTGTGCGTTGCTGAATGCAGATTATGAACCAGGATCTCACATTTGTTACACAAGAAGTTTTGTAAATGAACGTTATTAAGACAACCATTCCATTTCTATTTCCCACCAGCTAGGATTTTCTAACATTAAAAGGAGAACTATGAGGGGGGGTGATTTTCACTCACCTCATAGTTCTAGCCGACCTGTGACAATGAGACTGTCACAGGTCGGCTCAGTAGATCGGGAAGTGAGCGAACACATGCCGGCACTTGCTCACTTCTCGATCCGGTCACTGCAGAGAGCCGTGACAGGGGAGGGACTGGATTCTCCCCGATCCTTCAGCGCTGACTGGCGGAACGGACGGGGGCAGGTACAGCTGGCTATGCCTCTAGATAGGCAGAGCCAGCTGTCACTCACACAGCTGGGTGGATCCCGGCATAATTGTCGGGATCCGTTTCAGCTGCGGCGTCTCAGTATACTGCAAGCTGTAGCTCGCTGTATACTGAGCCTAGGGTGACAGGAGGATGCTAGTTTGTTTCCTCCCGTTACCCTAAGGAGAACTATGGGGAAAAGCCCTGACCCCATAGTTCTCCTTTAACAAAAAAGAATTTCAATGGTACTTTTTGGCAATCAGGACAAGTCCCATGATTAATCTTCAATCAAGTTTATACAATTTTACCTCAGAATTCTCATCCCATGTGCATGTGGCTGACACATTGCTTTCCCACTTGCACAGAGCATGAGGCAGAATCTCAGACAGCTCCCACACAGCTGTGAACCTTCTACGTGTTGTTTCTAGAGCAGGGGTGCCCATTAGGTAGATGGTGGTCTAGCAGTAGCTACAGTAATACCTTGGTTTAAGAGCATAATTAGTTCCGGAAGCATGCTTGTAATCCAAAGCGCTTGTATATCAAAGCGAATTTCCCCATAGGAAATAATGGAAATTCAGATGATTCGTTCCACAACCCAAAAATATTCATATAAAATGATTACAATACAGTACTGCAATATAATACTGTACAAAATATAAAGACAAATAAACCGATTACCGGTACCTTCGTGGCTGGTGTGAGGGGGACAAAAGAGAGGAGGATTATTGTGCAGGACGACTTTCACCATCACTAACGGAATCACTGCTATCTCTTGACTCAATGGAATATTTTTCATTTTGCGAAACCTTAACAAGGAATATATCCAATGTGATGTTGCATTGTCGTTAAACAGACTCATCGCTCGCACTGCTACAGCCTTATTCGGGTGGCGCTTTTCTACAAAATTTTGCTCTTATTGCAAGACATTGCTTGTATATCAAGGCAAAATTTTTCGGAAATGTTTGCTTGTCTTGCAAAACACTCTCACACCAAGTTACTTGTAAACCAAGGTATTACTGTATGTATTACATCAAAGAATATTAGTTTACACAGCCTGTTGCAAAATACAGCAAGGAGAGGCCGCCAGGGGGATGAGCGAGAGGAGAGGCCGCCAGGGGGATGAGCGAGAGGAGAGGCCGCCAGGGGGATGAGCGAGAGGAGAGGCCGCCAGGGGGATGAGCGAGAGGAGAGGCCGCCAGGGGGATGAGCGAGAGGAGAGGCAGCCAGGGGGATGAGCGAGAGGAGAGGCAGCCAGGAGGATGAGCGAGAGGAGAGGCAGCCAGGAGGATGAGCGAGAGGAGAGGCAGCCAGGGGAAAGAGAGAGCGAGGGAGGTTTTTTTTTCCCCTCTCTCATTTAGCTCGTCATTTGAAAAGTAGATCTTAGAAACACACAAATTTGTGGGCACCCCTGCTCTAGGATTGCAAAGGACGCAGCCTTTCCACCTATGACCCAGAAGATATGTTGTCCGCACACCATTCTGCTTCAGCATATCATCTTTATTCGTATTCCTTTAGCATGACATGTGAATACAACGTTTCGCAGCCTCATCAGGCAAAGCCGTCCTGTGAGGCTCCGACACATTGTATTCACATGTCATGCTAAAAGGAACATGAATAAAGATGATGTTCTGAAGCAGAATGGTGTGCGGACAACATATCTTCTAGATTGTATAATGTGGCGCCATCCACCAGTTGTTCCAGCACCCGTTGGATTCTGGGATATAAGGGTACAGTAAGCAAAGGGGATATTACAATTTCCACACGGAGATGCATTAGTACATTACAGTCAGTGGACTCTCCCACTTGTTTCTAGAAGGATGCAGCCTTTCCACCTACTGCAACACTGAGATGCATCAATACCTTACAGTCAGTGGACTCTCCCACTCACTTTGGAGACGTTATTGCCACTGCTTGGCTTAGTATTTACACAACAGAGATCAGCAAGAATCTGCAACAAAGTTTGCACAATTATTTGCAATTTATATTTGTTCGAGAACATTTATTTTTCAATAAAAGTTTCACTTTGAAGGGGTGAGTCCACCCAAACGTTCTCCTTAAAGAAGAACTCCAGAAAAACTTTCTTAACCCTTGCACTGGGGTTACTCCTGCACTACAAGGTATAAGTGCTCGTTTTTGTCTAGGTGCTAAAATAAGCCCTCATTCACTCGGGTAACGGCCGGCCCGTACAGATCCGTGGGGTGTGCAGGGCCGTATCAGGCAGCTCCCTGGAAGGACAGGTGCTGCGTGTGATTAGTACGCAGCCCCTGTCCTTCTCTATGGAAGTACGCAGCCGTATGCTGCACTACGCTCAGCCGACCTGCACGTCTGTACGGGTGTCCCTGCTCGGATGTAGACAGGATCCATTCCGTCAGCGTACGAATACGGACACCCGCACCAACGTGCGTACTCCCATAGAGAAGGACAGGGGCTGCGTACTAAACGCACGCAGCACCTGTCCTTTCGGGAGCTGCCCGCAGCACGGATCTGTACGGGCCGGCCGTTGTGAATGAGGGCAGTCATAATCACCTGAAGCTTAGTCAGTGTGCTCCCTCCTGTCTGTCTCCTCCTCCTCCACTGCAGCATTGTAATCTTCCTCATGTCTATACACTGTGTATAGACGATGATTTACAGGACCGTAGACCACTGCAGAGTAGGGGGAGAAACGCTGGAAGGACTGATCTACGAGCAAGGCAGAGCATTGGGAGAGTATAACTTTTTTTTTTATAACCTAGACAAAAACGAGCAGTTATCCTTGCAGTGTGTGGGCAGCCCCACTGCAAGGGTTAATACAAATCTTCCCTGGAGTACTTCTTTAAATTTATGGCTGTATAGTGGCTGAAGCTCCCAGGAAGGACTCTCTGGCTCTGTAAACAGCAGCTGTAATATAATATATAAAATGCAGCAGTCTGAGTGAGACTCCTCCTGGTACAGTAAAAAAAAAACAAACTAAGACTTCAGGGCAGGCAGACATGGCACCCCCAAGAGCCGCTAAAAACATTTTTTTTTTTTTTTGGTTAATTTTGAGTGGCTTAACCCTCAAACATTAGAAATACAAATAATACAGACAGGTAAAAAAACAAAATCTATTTACATAATTGCATTCTGTTCATGAAATTGACCCATTCGAAGCACAGGCATTCACATACTTTTTGGCGGTAAAAAAAAAAGTTCATAAAAATACAAGTGGTAATAAAAACTGTATAGTGTCCTCTTCATCTTCTCATGTACCCTGAAACAACATGATCACCGGAATCACAATTGTCATGATCTGAAAAGTCTTCTTCATAATCATCACTGCCATACTCGATTGCGGTTGGTTCCATATCTACTAATATGCTGGATGCACATACACTAATGTCCCCATTGATTGAGAGGTCAGCTAGACCCGAGTCCATGTCTGGTTCTCCCTCTGGATCCTCTTTCAAAGATCCTCCATTTTTAAGGCCTTTCCTTGCATCTATTGGGTCTCCTCTGCATATGGAGTTTAAATTGATGTTGAAGGACCTGCTGTTGTCGAACGGGAGGTCTGAAGACAATTCTAAGTCGTTGGCTGGTATTGGCAAGAAGCTGTCAGCCGAATCTTTGATGATGCCCAAGCCTATTGGAAGCTCTATGGAGATTTTCTCTTCGCCCGAGGATCCAGTCATCTGACCGCTGGACTCTAAAGATGAAAGCACTGGACCACTGCTGTCCCCTCCACTGGTGTCACTATCCAACAGTTTTTTTCGGCTGGTGTAGTTCCCTTCTTTGTACTCGTCTTCATTTTCTTGGCTTTCCTCTACCTCCAGCTTTTGGCTTACAATCTCCTCTGGAACAATGCATGATGGAGGAATACATTCATTGTTTTCACTGTATCTACTCTCTGATCGGGGCAAGGATTTCTTAAAGGGGGAAAAAAAGGGCACTGTTAAACATAATACACATTTATGATGACAAAGCAGAATCCCAGCTAAACGCAAGGCTGAAATACAGTGGTACCTCGGTTCACGAACTTAATTCGTTCCACGATTCTGGTCACGAACCGAATCAAACTGTGATCAGCCCGCGATCTCGACTAGAGGAAAATGTATGTATAAAGTCACTCGCACTCCAATGGAATTTCAAGTCAAAAACGATTGATTGACTCGATTGCCATCACATCATATTCACTATACGATGTGATAGTAATTGAGTCAATCAATCGTTTTTGACATGAAATTCCATTGGAGTGCGAGTGACTTTACACGTACACTTATCTTGGATTACAGAGGCATCTGCAGTCACTTTGGCACCCACCCAAATCTAAGGGTATTATTTCGGTCAGGAGTGCGATGGGTACACTGGATTTTTGACTCGACTAGCAGGAAGCCAAGAACATGTGTCGGAGCAGGGAAGATGGCTGCGGTTGTGTTAGTCACCTGATGCGGATTTCGTGAACGGAAACAACATTTTGCCGAACTTCCTGGTCGCGAACAGAAGCGTTTGTGAACCGAGTTACCACTGTATCTGTATTACTGTTCAGCCAGTCTTGTGCTCCACACAACAGCCTGCAGCCCCTCACTGTGGACCAAGATTAAGCATCACCAGTCCACAGAAAGGATGTCCTGGAGCTGGAGAAGGTCCAAAGAAGAGCAACCAAGCTAATTAAAGGGGCTGGAGGACCTAAGCTATGAGACAAGGTTGCTAAATTTAAACGTGTTCATGCTGGAAGTGAGGAGATTAAGAGGGGGCATGATTTTGTTGTACAAAATGTTTAGGGCTAATGGCAACATCAGCACTAAACTCTTTACTATAAACTCCCTAACAAGGACTAGAGGCCCCCACCTAAAACAGGTGGAGAAAAGATTCATCCACAAACGGCGTAGGGGCTTCTTTTCAGTTAGAGTGGTTACATTTTGGAACTCTGCCAAAAGCAGTGGTATCAGCAAAGAATATTGATTTGTTCAAAAATCAATTACATACCATCCTAAGAGACCGTAACATACAGGGGTACAGGTACTCTTAGTAGTATTGAGGTCTGGGCATTTTTTACCTTAATACATTCTCTGCATTAGGGGAAAAACAGCCTAGTACCTTTTTTCTCCCCCTGTCCCCCCACCCTTCCAGTGAGCTACGCTCATCCCCGCCGCCGGTCCCGCAGAGCTCCTCCGTTCCCCCAAACTTCCTGGTTGCGTTGGGAGAATACTGATGGCAAAGGAGCCATTGGCACCTTCTGCCATCAATCAAACTGTTGGGCGGAGAGGAGGAGCGTGGTCTGCTACAGGGCCGTGTGTGTCTATGGACGCACACAGCCACTGCAGGCAGAATCGCGTACGGGTGCCTCCATTAGCCGATGGAGGCAACCGTGTAGGGGGCAGGGGGAAGATTGCTGGGAACAGGGAATTAAAAACTTTTAAAAAGAGAAATGGCAACAGCCTCATGCAAAGGTGGGTCTCCTTGTAGGAAATATATAAAAAAAAAAAAAAAAAAAAAAAAAAAAGGGTTTAATTTTATTTTAAAAAACAAAAAACAAATAAAAAAGAGGCTTTAATTTTACTTTAAAATACTAGAACACATACTAGAACACATACTAGAACACATACTAGAACACATACTAGAACACATACTAGAACACATACTAGAACACATACTAGAACACATACACACACGAATTTGATGGACCTGTGTCTTTTTTAAACCTCAAATGCTATGTAACCTTATATGCTCCTTCAAGTAGGACACAGACCACATTGTACAGTACAACAGAGCCTAACTCCCCCCCTTCCCCCTATTGTTGGTATTCCCTCTTTTGTTCAGCAGGGGATTATTTAAGGTCAGCTAGCTTTAGTCACCAACATTTGAATAGCTTTTGAGGGCTTAGTATTTGTTTAAAGCAGACTTATACTCACCTCCCTTCCAGTATTGCAATGTCTATGAGCTCTCTTGCTGGTGCTGATAACTTCACTCCGTCTTCTTCTGGATTCGGCTTCTTTGCCTCACTGCTTTCAGTAGTTTGATCATCTTTGTCCACCTACAATCCTCATCAAACACCTACACCCTAGGTTGTGAGTATGTTGGGCCTTACCTCTCTCTGGTTAGTTACTGCTGATAATAGCTGCAACCTGTTTGCCAACAGATGTCCGGCTTCTACAGGTGACCTGGCTTCTTACACCCCTACTTGTTCCAGCAATTTCATGGGAAATGGACACTGGTGTTTTTGATCCTGGGACCCCTATTTCTATAGACTCTACCTCTTCAAAAGCTTCACTGCACGAGTTCAATACCCATGTACAGTAGTTTCTTCTAGGCTTAACATGTTTCCCCATCAGGAAACTAATCCAAATTGACTTTTTCTCCTAATATACCCACAAGACTTCCCCCGATTTATTTATTGCTTGGCAATTACTTTTGATATATTTCTTCTTATGTAGATTTTCTCCCAAGCTGTTCTGTCTTCACTTACAGTACATTGGAAAGTCTACCTTCGAATCAATCATCTGACTAGTTCCTTCTCGTTATACTCCTTTAATCTCACCTTTCGTGGAAATACATTTAAAATGATTGCTTTGATCATACATTTTTGTGGCTCTGCAGTTCGTTTTGAATTGCTCTTTTGTAGTTAACCTTCCCTGCTCTTTTCCTCCCTGAGGAATTTACACAGGGTACTTCTATACTTTAATAGCAGTCTTTATTGCAGCTTTGGTTCTGGTTCCTGTACACCACACTTCCGGCACACCATAACATTTCTAGTTCAAAATGCAATTATGCTATTGGCCCAATATTGTTTCTCTATGGAAACTGAATTATTTTGTATGTCATTGTAGCCTATACATACACTGAGCTGTACCAGCAAAATGTCTGTCAACTTTGCTTTATCTGATTTCACAATTCTTGGCATCCTCCTTGTATCCCAACGCTGTGTGTGTAACACATCCTGACCCACCTGCTCAGATGGACTCTTTTTTTTGCCCCTTTTCAGTTTTGCCTAATCCCCTTTTTACTGGGGGCGGAGGGAGGTTGATCTCTCCATCATCTCCCCTATTAGAGTTCTAGGGTAAGTCTACCTCCCAAGCTTCTCAGCCCCTTATGGATTCCCTACTGACACCTGTTTAGTTGTCCAGTCTCCCTGAAGTGCTAATGCTTCAGCCTCTTCTCCTTACAGCTCAACTTTCTTGCTATTGCTCCATCTAACCTTTAGTGGGCTATTTTGTGGTCCTTGATTGTATTGTTTATGGGCCATACCACTTTTAATACAGATTTCCCCTTACAGGGTGTTCTGTCCTGCTCTGCAGCTCCTTGTGCTTCTCTTTCTCTCTGTGAAATCTTTTTCTTGAAGTCCATTAAGTTACACAGGTCCCTCCCCTATGAGTTTTTGGCCTTATGTACTGCTTGCTCACAAAACTGGGGCATGATGATTTGAGGGGAAGTTATAGAGTGGGTTGGCGTAACACATTTTGTTTGCCAGTGTCCACACTTCTACCAGTAGAATTACAGAAGAGCCCTGGGGTCATGCTAAAAAAAAAAAAAATATGAAACATTTCTGTTTAAAAGTCAGAATTCTGAGTTTCAAACTCAGAATTTTAAAAACATAATTCTGATATTAAAAGTCAGAATTCTTACTTTTAATCTCACAAATCTGACTTTCAATCTCAGAATTGTATTTAAAATTTTGACTTTTTAAATGCAGAATTCTGACTTTCAAAATGCAGAATTATATTTCATATTGTTTTTTAGCATAGCAGCAGGGCTCTTCCGTAGTAGAATAACCCAAATGTCCGATTTTCTATTATTCCTGTGTCCCTCAATAGACTTTAAGAAAAAGATTTTACGGGGACTTAAAAATGTCTTATTTTGTTATAGCATTAGTTGAATGTATTTGACATTAAAAAAAACAGAATCAGAGTACCCCTTTAGAGGTTTTACTCAGTTATTTGTACTACTCAAACAAGTCCTGAAGTAACAAGGTAGCCATCCCACATGCTGATCCAAGGCCAGAGACTTAAAAGTGAACTAATTGGACTAAGCTGCAGCTGAAAGGCTCTTTTCTTCTGGGAACCATGAGGCTCACATGGCAAAAACTTTTATGCAAGGCTGAACTTCAGATAACCACATACCTCATCTCCCCCACCTACATACAATATTCCTTAATGAGTGGATGGAGAATGATACATTAAAGTTTTCTCCGAGGGTTCTGATAAGCTTCTGCTGCTGTTCCCTCCCCTAGAATAGACACTAAAAATAAATATTGGTGCTGTATTATCCGGGAGGTCAAAGTTAAGGAGCTATGCAGGAGAAAAACAAAAAAATGTGGCAAGTTCTGTGCGAAGGTTTATGGTATTTTTGTAAGGGCGAACAGTTCAGGATTAGTAATTAGCTAAACCTCCAAAGTGACCATCATTAAAGTGACATTAAGGGCAGAAGTCCCCTCCACAGTGCTAATGTAAGGACTTACCTTAAATGATATTTCTTAATCCGATCTTCCTTACTGTAGTTTTCAGCTGTCCCTCCAGCGCTGGTGCGGGTCTCCGATCCAGCGCTGACTCCTCCGTCCTCCTCTTCTATGATGTCCCACGGAGTCTGTGCGCGTGCACGCTGCTCCATAGACTTACCTGGTGTCTCTGCTCCTCTCGCGGCCGAACATCTGAACTGCGCATGCGCCCGCCCCAAGATCCTTTGCAGAGGACCGAGACATTTTCAGATGTTCGGAGGGGAGCGTGCGGCGAAGACACAGGTATTAACCCTTTGAAAAAGTTTCTTTTTTAAAATCTGTTTGCATATATCTACTGCTTGCTAGCCGTAGCTGTATGCAAAAAAAAGAGGGTTTAATAACGCTTTAAGATAAATCTGTGCAGTAAAGATCTCCAAACAATAGATGACATAAATACCAGATAGTAAGCTCGTTGATTTGCTAGGCCACACTGTGCCTTGCAGCAGCGTAGGGACCAGCAGGAAAAACTACAGCGAACAACAGCAGGACCAGGAAATAGAGAATCCCAAAATGTTAGATTCTGAAGGATCTCCAGCTGGTGGTATTTCCCTACTGCAGAGATTGGCAGGGGCAAGCTCAATGTTATTGTTGCTCGATACCTTTACTGCATAGCTGCTTTAAGTTGTTCTAATTGTGCAGCCTTGTATCTCAATGATAGTGGTAGTTATGTGTCCTGTTATTTACTGTAATAGTTTTCTCCAAGTCCCTGCAGAAATGCCAAGGGTCAGGCCACAATGACCTGACCTGTCTTCTGCCTGGGCTCAGGGCTAATAATTGGCACTCAGTCTGAGCTGTTGAAAAAGAGAGTCTATGGTGGGCTCTGCAGGATCACTCTCAGGTGGGCTGTTTGGTATATCAGGTGGGCTCTGCAAGTGGCATAACTTGCAATCACGGGGCCCCATACCAAATTTTGCTATGGGGCCCTGTGATTTCTAGTTACGCCCCTGAGCGCTGCCCTAGCAAAGATCCTATCATGTAAGCTTTAACACCTTCAGGACGAGAAGTCATTAGGACAGCAAGTGATTTAGAGCAATAGACTCCACTTGCATTTGAAATGTAACTTTTGAGTTGACCATCCATTCAAAGTAGAACCTAACTTTTGTAAATGTATCTTTCAATCCCTTAAGGACCCTTTCGCTGCCAAGGCCTTTTTCCCCCTTTTTTTTGCACCCATGTTATAATCCATATTTTAGGCCTGAAAATTACTTCAAACCCCCAATCATTACATATTTTCTGAAAGCCAAGACCCTAAAGAATAAAAGGGCGGCAGTTGCAAATTTGTATGTTGCCCGATAATAGCGCAACTCTTTATCAAACCCAAAAATGTTGTGAAAAATGCACTTAAGTTAAATTTAGTGCCCCAAAGCACATAATACCCATTTTTTGCAAAATATAAAAGATGAGGTTACACGCCCAGGTTAAAAATTGTGTGCGTCTGTGAAACAGCGACAAAATTCAGTAGCCCGAAAAGTCCAGAGACAACACTTTAAGAGCCCCCGCACTTCATCAATTTAGAGATGCGCGTAAATATTGGCCCTAGAATTATTGCTCTCACTCTGGCATGCGCGGCGATACCGAGCATGTGCAGCGCAATCGTCGTTTCCGTACGTAGGCACACCTGTCGCGTGTTTACGCGAATATGCGCGTGGGGGACATTAAAATAATTTCTTTAATTATTTTTACATTTTAATTTAATAATTTGAAAAGCTTTTTGTTTACTTTACTTGCTAATCACATAGGGGCCTTACAGGCCCTCATGTGATAGCATATTGGTGGTGACAGGTCCTCTTTAAGGTGATACTGGTGGTCCAAAAGACCCAGTGTCACCTTTCCACATTAAAAGGAGCTATTAAAATGCAGATCGCACTTCAATAGCTCTTTGCTCGGCTTTAGGAGCCCAGCATTGACAGCTCAGGGACCAAAAGTGATGCAATAAGTGTCGCTCCCGGTTCCATAGAGTGGGGGGGAGATCGGGAACGGACGTTTGCCAATCTCCTCCCGGCTTCCCGCCGGACAAACAAAATGCCGGTCCTGGGTCCGCAGGAGGGGCAGCGCAGCCCATGAAACACGGCGGGGGTGTCGGGTGGGCACTTTACCGGTCCATAGAAACGAGATCCCAGGTCCGCAAAAGGTGCAGCGGAGCCCGTGAAACACGGCGGGGGTATCGTGTGGGCAGTTTACTGAGCCGCCAGAAGCTCTTCTACTGTAAAGCAGACAGTCGGCTTTACAAGAGTCTGTTTTAACGGGCCCGCTGCCAATGGCGTACTATGTACGTCACTGGTCGCGAAGGGGCTTAAAGGACTCCCTGTTCAACCCTCATTGTAAACATACCCGTCTAGAATCCTAGCAGAGCCATGCTGTGCAACTAATGGGGAACAGCGCAGCAGCTGATGGAAATTCTATAGGCCGGTCCTGAATCCCATTTATTCCTACGAAAAGACCATTTATCATGTAGACCATCTATCGAGAGACATCTACTTCACAAAATTAAAGTTATCCTTTAAATGGTTGGCCAACTCAAAGTTATGTTTCAACTGTATGAGAAGTTTTCTTGGATTAATCACTCGCTTTTCTCTGAAAAAGGTCAACTCTGAGCTTATTTTTTTTTTAAATATACACAAAGTGACACCCCCAAGCTCTGGCTGCAATACTCTCCTCCAGTCCAAAGCTTGTCCTCTACAGTACAGCTAAAAAAATCCTCAGTCTTCTGGAGTGCATGAACTTAACCGCAACTTAGGAATGACCGAGTACAGGGCGTCATAGCCCTACTTCTACCCCTCCACGGGCAACCTATAAAAACAGTGCATTGATGCCGATGTCAGGTCCGTGCTGTTCTCTGAATTAGGACCATCTATGGCTAGGAGAAGACCAAGGAGGAAGAGGACCCAGCACATGAAGTGACTGGCCAGAAGACAAGGGGAAGGAAGCCTTTGCACAGGGAGAGCATGGAGCCTGAAGTTGGGCTTTTAGTCCTTCCATGACGATGATGCTTAGTCCAAGCATATAGAAAAAACTTTTGCAAGAACGACACTCAAGTCAAAGCTGCATAATGGAAAAAAATAAAAAACCACAGCTCTCTACAACAGATAGTGGACAGACACATGACAGATACTCACCAGCACTTTTGGGAAGAATTTCATCCGCATGCCTATGTATCCAGCTCTGTCTAGTGCAAATAAACTCAACAATAGTCCAAGAAACAGGAGGGAGCCACACACCACAGGGGCAATAACTATAAAAAACAAACAAAAAAACACATTAGGTCATCTATAAAGGCAGATGGTTAAATAAAAGCTTCATGGTATTTTCAGGGATTACTCAGTATGAGACATTACTTTTTCTTGTTCCATATATTCAAGTTTTCCTAAAGTGAATATCAGACAGACACAACCAGCCCCCCTCATCTATTTTAAAATAAAACCATCATTTAACACCCCCACCCCCAATCTTGGTTAAAGGTTTTACGCTTCATGAGTAGCAAGATAACCATGCCACATGCCGCTCCAAGGCCAAAGACCTAAACATTAACAAATTGGTTTATGCCACAGCTGGGGTCTCCTTATCTTCTGGGAACAAAGAGCCTCACATGGAAAAAATAATTTTTTTGTAAGACTGCGCTTTAGCTATCCAACTACATGACCTAAAACCAACCACAGGATAAGCCATCTAGAGATTTAAAAGAACTATGGAGTGAAAATCACTCACCCTCATAGTTCGAGCTGACGTGCGACAATGAAACTGTTACACGTCGGCTCAATAGATCGGGGAGTGAACACAACGTCGCTCGCTTCTCGATCATCTCCCTGCAGAGAGCAGTGATTGTCACTCACGGCTCCCAGCAGGGTTTCCCCCAAACCCTGTCCGATCCGCCAGCGTTGACTGGAGGAACGGACGGGGGAGGGTACAGCTGGCTCTGCCTCTAGATAGGCAGAGCCAGCTGTCAATCATACAGCTGGGTGCATCTCCACAGCATTGTTGGGATCCGTCCCGGCTGCGGCGCTCTCAGTATACCACGAGCTGTAGCTCGCGATATACTGAGCTTTGGGGAGAGTCCATGGTCCCATCGCACTCCTGACCGCCAAATCCCTTCAAGAAGCGGGTGCTACGGTAGTCAACGGGTGGCAGCAGTTATAATCTTTTTGCCTGAGGAAGGGGATCCTCTTTGACCCCGAAACGTTTGTTGCTATCTGTCATACTGCACGTCAATAAATAGACGTTTGCTTACCATTTTGGAGTACCGGTGTTTCTGTTTCTATACTGAGCTTTGGATCATGGGAGGAGGTTCGCATATGTCCTCCCATAACCCTTAAGAGAACTATGGGGGAAAACACTTACCACTTAGTTCTCTTTCATTTGTCAGAACGCTGGCACATACACATTGCGATCCAGTTATGCGATCTCCTTTAGATTTAACAACAACTATGGAGAGTCTTGCTATGAGCTGATCATATCGGAAGACAGCTGGACAATCGGATTGCAATCTTTTGGTGCCTTAAAAGAGAACTATGGTCAAACCTTTTTTGGCGTTCGTTCTCTTTTGGGTCACAGGAGTATATTTACTAATGTCCTCCTGTGAACCTAAACTCAGCATATAGGGGGCTACTTCCCACTATATGCTGACAGAGCAGAGCTGCACTGCAGCTGGGAAGGATCCCGACAATATTGACTGGATCCAATCCGTTGCCTGATTGACAGCTGGCCAGCTGTGCCGCCGCCTCCTGTCTGTACCTCTAGTCCAGTGGTGGCGAACCTTGGCACTCCAGCTGTGCCAAAACTACAAATCCCAACATGCATCTGCCTCTGGGAGTTATGTCTGTGTCTATCAGTCTATACCAAAACAGCTGGAGTGCCAAGGTTCGCCACCACTGCTCTAGTCAGTGCTGGAGGTCAGTGAGGGGAGGGAGGCGACGAGTGTATTTCACTCTCCCCATAGTTCTCCTTTAATAATCTGAACTTTGCCCATACAAGCTTGCCCAATATACCCACCCCAGGTGCACACTCACCTTTCCTTTCTTCTCCGACCACCTTGCTTGCCTGTTGGCAATGAAGACAAATACCTGCTACAGGGCGTTTGTCACATGGGGCAAGAAGAGTCCTCAGCCCTGTGTAAGCGCTGAGTCACGGCAATCTTACACAGAGCTTCCTCTCTTTGCTCAACAGAAACTGAAAAAGAATGGCAAGGAATGTGGCGTCACTCCCTTTCCTAGTTTTTTCTTACGCTTTAACCCCTTCACGACCAGTGACGGGATAATCCCGCCGGGAGTCTGTTCATATCTGTAGAGCCAGCGGCCGCCTTTACAGTAGAAGAGATTCTGGCATCTCGGCTGTTGCCAGATCGCTTCTACGATCCGGTAAAGTGCCCCCCATCCCACGTGCGACACCCCCGCTGCCCCTCCTACAGGCTCGGGCCCGGCATCTCGGATGTCGCTGGGAAGGAGAGCGGCGAATGTCCGTTCACCATTCTCCTCCCCGTTCTATGGGACTGGGAGCGACGCTGATTGCATCATTTTCGGCCACTGAGCGGTCACTGCTCAGCTACTGAAGCCCGGCAATATACTATTGAAGTGCGATCTGCCCTTCAATAGCTTATTTAGAGTGTAAAGGTGACACTGGAGGTGTTTTGGATCCCAAGTATCACCTTAAAGACAACCTACCACCACCAATATGCTATCACATGGGGGGCTTGTAAGCCCCCCTATGTGGTAGTAATTAAAGTAAAGTAGGTTAAAAAATAAAAAAAAAAAAAAAAAAAAAAAAAGCAGTTTTAAAAATAATATTAAATAAAATAAAAAAAATAAAGTCCACCCACCCCCTTGAGCACGCGCGTCTTGACGGAAACACGCATCGGGTGGGCCCATGTACAAAAACCACGATTGTGCTACACGTGTTGGGTATCTCTGTGCACACCAGAGAGAGCAATAATTCTCCGGCCAATATTTACACGTGTTCTCAAAACTGATGACCTGTGGGGACTTTTAAAGTGTTGTCTATGGGCTTTGAGGTACTGAACTTTGTCCCAGTTTCAGACGCACACAATTTTTAACCTGGGCATGTTGGGTATCTATTTACTCGTTGTAACCTCTTCTTTTATATCTTACAAAAAAATGGTTTTATATAGTGTTTTGGGGCACTAAATTTAACTTAATTGCATTTTTCACAAAATGTTTGGGTTTGATAATAAGTTGGGCTAATGTCGTGCAACATAAAAATTTGCAACAGCCACCATTTTATTCTATAGGGTCCTGGCTTTCAGGAAATATATGTTTGGGGGTTTAAGTAATTTTTAGGCCCAAAATGTGGATTATAACATGTAAACAAAAAATGAAAAAAAGGCCTCGGTCATGAAGGGGTTTAACCCCTTCGTGGCTGACGACGTACAGTGTACGTCGCCATCATTTTCAGGCCTAAAATGTGGAATATAACATGGGTGCAAAAAATGAAAAAAGGGCCTCGGTCATGAAGGGGTTTAATGGAGCAAATTATGGGAGGAAGGTCTGTTGCATTTCAGTGCAAGGTCCCCTTTAAGGCCCAATTCACACGGAATCCGTTTGCATCTGCTTTTCAATCGATGTCAATGGAGGGTAACCCAAAAAACATGGGTGTGAATGGGACCAGCTCACACCGCTGCTTTGGAAAAAAAAAAAAAGTAGCCAAGCTCTTCTTTTTTTCAGTGCAACAAAACAAGACGTGTTAAAAACGGATGTCAACAGAATGGGGGGGGGGGGTTTGTTCACTCAGGAAAAAATAATGGAGCGGAAGTCAACGGAGGTTAAATTGCAAGTCAACGGACCTGTTGACTTATATTTTCAGTCCAATTTTGCTGTGAAGAGAATCTAAATATGATCTGTTACTTATCTGTATGAATGTAATAAACCAATTAGACAATGTAAACAAAGTGAGCGATTACTGGAAGTAGGAGAGACTTTGTTGGGTCCTGTGACGACACATTTGTGTGCAGATCGTATGGGATGTTCAATATTTAGATACGTGTTCATGTCCACCGACACGCAGTAATTTGTATTTGGCAGCAGTTCCGGAATAATTGCAGCATTGCTTATATTATATATGTTTATGATGTGTTCAGCCTAAAAAGGGACAGAGCAGAACATTGTTAGTCAGGAGTATATTATCAAAAACTTGCCATGTAGTGTCAGAATTACAGTACAAGTGCTTAAAGCTAAACTCTGGCCTTCCCTTCAGCCTTGCAGTTTTACAGGCTCCTCTCCGGGACTGAAATTGCTTACGCTGATGCATTACTGAGCTTCTCAGTGTGCATTAGAATCTTCAGCATGTCACATAGAGTCCGCCTCATTTCCTGCCTGGAGGATATCCAGCATCATCCAGCTCCTTCCTACCCAAGCCTTACGTTCCTCTGGCATTCCCCTTTTATTCAGTGTATGGATGCACCGATACCAGTATCGGTACTGATGTTGAGTATTTGGGTGAGTACTTGTACTTGCCCAAATGCTCCGATGCCTAGCCCGATACTTCCGGTATCAGGAAGCCAGGCAGCAAGTCATTACACGCTGCCCGGCTTCCTGGCCAATCCATGCTCCCTCCTCACTTGTGAGGAGGGAGCCGGCTTCCCGGCCAATCAGGAAGCCGGGCAGCATTTAATGACGAGCTGGTCGGCTTCCTGATTGGCCAGAAAGCCGGCTCCATGCTTTCTCGTCACCTAGTGACGAGAAGCATGTCGACAGCACTGGAGGCCTAATAATTAGCTGCATTATGTGAAGAACAGCAGAGAGTCACAGTATCCCCCAAACCAGGAAGTATTGGGTATTTCACCAGGCCCTGGTGGCGGAAGGCAGTGCATGGGCAGCTATCTGCAGTGGAAATGTCAGGTAGTCAAAAAGCCTGTTACAGTGTCCTGAATGATCAAACTATAAACACTAAAATAAAAGGGAAAAAACACTTCTAGGTGTAAAACGAAATCCACTCTAAGCAATTCAATCACCATAATAGAGAAAAACACTTGTGTTAAGAGTTTCATGGAAAAAAGGGTCGGAGGTCACTGGGGTAGCAGTGCTGCTCCAACAATCTCATAATTCTCAATCACAGGAGACTTTACATTTGGTGGGTCACTGGGCTTCAAACAGTTCACATAACACATACGTTTGAACAAGTATTTGTGTAGTCTCCCCTCCATGTCCACTGCTGCATAAAAATGGATTAGTTGCTTCAATATCCACCAGTATTTACTGAAATACAGTAACCCCTGCGCTACT